AAAAGATCAGTTGAAGAAGAGTGGTTCGGGCACGTCTGGTGTAAAATCTTTGACTGCGATCCACCCAATCACACGCGCGTATATCGAATCCCGTGAAACAGAGTTGGCGAAACTCTCTCTTTACGGCTCTGCTCTTTCGACTTTCATAATTTAGAGGTCAATCCAACTAGTGTGACCGACCCAGAATTTCTAGCCTGGCTTGAAATCTCACCCGCGGTGAGTCAAGCCAGGCTTGAGACGCTAGTGTGACCGTAGCCTAAGCCATCAACTCGATTCCACAGACACACGATAATGGTGGATCCAAGGGCAGCGATAGGGGTGCTGGCCCCGCCCATCAGGAAGCCAAAAATACTATCTAACATGGCCTAAAATTATTAACTTACGAGATTAAAATGGCTAAAACTCCGAAGCTTCAAGAAGGCATAACCACTGGCCTTACGCTGACCAATAGCGCCACCCCCTCTCGGACCATTATATAATTTAATTAAGGACAAAATGTTAGTGCCGATATACCGTCCAGACGTGTGCACAGCTCTGGATGAAATAATTTATCGTAGCGCCATTCTTTTAAATGTCTTACCATTATTGGCATGTTTGGAGTTTCTATTTATGCCCATTAAGATATCGTAGAAATAATTTTATAATAACACGAGTCTACAAAATATTGGAAGATGACTTGTCGCGCTACAAAAGCGTGAGAATTCATTATTCAAATTACGTGAGTACAGTACAGTAAAAGCAACAGCATCATCATCTTCATCTTCGTCATCATCATCGTCTTCATCATCATCATTAGACATCGTTACCATGTCCATAATCATCGTCTTAACATTATTATTAACCGCATCATTAGCATAGGCAGGTAGTAGGCATGATTCCCCGTTTATTGAAGAGAAAGCGTGCGTGATAACATATCTAAGCTTTTAAGTACATTTCGATGTGTTGTTGATTTTAATATGCATTTCAAGGTAGGCCTAATTCAGTATTGGTCTACGCGACGTGACACAATAGCAATAAAAAAAATACACCTCGCCGGATTCATAGGGGCGATGGTTAATCTCCCCCTCCCTTAATGTTAGAGTGATTTTAAATTTTAGCTGGCAAAAAAATGTACAGATGTTAAGTAAATAGTGAGCAGCATTTTTCTTTAGGAGTGGGGTCATTTCTGAAAACAATTTTAAGGCTAATTTTATTGTTGGCTTTATGTCGCTCGAAAGACGGGAGAGTGAAAAGACAAACGACGGTTGTCCAATTCATTTTAACTTATGTTATTTATACAGGAGTTCCCTTTTGCGAGTATTCTCTAATTCGACTCACCTCAGCAATTTTTTTTTACAGTTATTAGACCTGTTATAACATTTTTAGTTTAAAAAACATCTGCTTGTCCTTTATGATATACACATTCTAGGTCATTTTTTCCAGGATGTATTTTAAATGTGAGGCCATTGGCACTTTAGTTTATGGTCAATAACGGTAAGTGTCTTAAAAAGAGTCTTGGGACAATTGTCACCATCAAGGTTTCAACTAAAATAAACGGCCTTGATATTATTTTGTTGTGAAAATTATTGCCAATCGTTAATAAGTAAATAATAATAATAATAATAATAATAATAATAATAATAATAATAATAATAATAATAATAATGATAATAAGAAGAATAATAATGCATTTATAATGCGCCATTTACCTAGGTAAAAACTATTCCGAGGCGCACAAAAAATTACATAGAAGAAATTAGAACTATTTTAAAACTTCGATACGTTTACTTTAGGTACTTTACACTGAAAC